TTAATTGTTCATCCATACGATTTCATCCTTCTTCATTATTATCACTTCTTTTTAAATAGGAGCCAAAACTTTGGTATGGAATTGGTATTTTGTACGATCGTTATGGTTCATTGGATCATGCAGAAGAAGCATTTTCGCAAGTATTAAGAATGGAGTCTAAATTTGAAAAGGCAAATGAAATATATTTTAGACTTGGCATCATTTATAAACAACAACAAAAATATGATCAAAGTTTACAAGTAAGTAGGGAAAGGAAGAGAGATATGAATATAAGAGAGGACATGTGATATTTATTTATATTGATTTATTATTACCGCTTTATTAATTACCACTCTTAATATTAATATTATTAGTGTTGATTACGAAAAGCAAAAACATTTATCATGATAAATACAAGATCTGCTTCCACAATTTGATTTCAACATTTTATTAAGTAAAGATGTAAAAACAATTAAACAATAAAAAAAAATCAATACAATGCAACAAAAAAAATAGTGTACCTCTCGCCATTAATAAACAACACCTTGTCTCCTTTAGAGCAAGCCATACTGAACAACAATGTTCGCGCTTTCTTTCTCGTCTTGTAAAAGATAAATTGTTTTTCCAAAAAAAAAAAAAAAAAAATTTCAATCGCGTCAACAAAAAAAACCAATAGATGCTTCTTTGTACAACCATACACGCATGTAATAATCGTAAATAATCGCGTATGTCGATCAAATAAATTTATTTTCTTTAAAAAAAAATGAAAAGAATTCAGAAGAAAATAAAGCAACAAGGTGAACGAGAAAATTCTCAGTTTGGGTAAGTGTTTATCATAAGAATGGTAATGGTGGTTATCGCCACCACTTATTGTCACTCTAGTTTAACATTAAGTTTGGATGGAAAGTCTGTGTTCAACTATTATATTCTCTGTAATTAATATTGTTTTTTAATTTCATTTTTGTTTAACACCAAAAGAAAAGATAATGAAGATGTTGATATGGAAGGTGTTGTTAGTAGCAGCAACAATAATGGCAGTTGTGGCATTATGAATAAAAATAATTCAAATATAGAGAATGAATTA